GAAAATTAACTAAAACAACACAATTTCATGAAAATGTTATATTTATATGCTAAATATGAAATATGTTAGAGAAAAATAATGATTATTTCTAGACAAAATACATATGCATGTGTATAATCGGGCGGGTTCGGGTCGGATAGTGAGAAATCCATGCCCACCCATTACCCGCAATATTCGGGTTCGGGTTTTACCCGTACCCACTAAATGTCCTTCGGGTTCGGGTTTTACCCTACCCGACTAGGCCGGATTCGGGCGGATATCCACGGTTACGGATATTTTTGCCATCCCTATCCATACCAACAACTTCATACTTTAGTTCATTAAGTTTGCTGCAAGCTGCATCTTCATTCACCACAAATTCATGTCACGTTATAACTAAATAAAATTAAGAAAGGAAGTACTTAATATTAGGGTTAATATTAGGGGTGTACATAGGTCGGGGTTTCGGGTTTAACCATTTTAATCACCCGACTCATGCACTACAGTTTGGGAAATATTAAACCCAAACCCACCCAATAAAATTAAAACCCTACGGTTTGTTTCTAATTGGGTTGGGTCGGGTTGGCGATATAAGTAAAACCCAACCCAACACAAAATATGTAATTATTCTACACCAAAAATATTTTATAACTACTTAAAATTTCAAATGAATAAACCGAGGTGAAAGGTATCAAAATTCACAAATGTTGTTTAAATTTTAATAAAATGTGATGTACTTTAACATATGTCTAGTTTTTTTCACGACATTTGTTGAAATAGGCTAAAAATATTATAAATGAACGCACCCATAATGTGTTCTTCTATTAAAATCGTACACAAGAAAAAGGATTATGTGAATCATAGCTATTTTAAATCTGTCTAAACTTTAAATCGAAAAATGCATTAGATTAGAGAGACCATGAGAGAAAAACATTGCGAAATCTTAATTTTCTCATAAGTATGGCTATATACGACATAAATATTTTTTGGAGACGAACTAAAATCAATAGTTGGAACACAGGTTGGGTTGGGTTCTACGGGTTGTGTAATCCAAAATCCAAACCCAACCCAAAAGATGCGGGTTCTAGAAAAGAAAACCCTCACCCAACCAAAACCTTAGTTTTAGCGATAAATACGGGTGGGTTGGGTCGGGTTTGACCAGTGGGTCGGTTTGCGGGTGTGTTTGTTCACCCCTACTTAATATAATAAGCGAAGAAAGAACAAACAAAATTGTGCATACATATATAAAAGCTAGTATAGTTGGTTTGCTGCCAGTTTAATCAATACTACTTATTATATATATATATATATATATATATGATAGCATATAGCACAATTAAATCTATTTTATGAAGACATTGTTTCTTTTGCAATTGCTTTGCTTTTCCTCTGTTGCTCTGCTACTAGGAAACAAGCAGCAACTATTGAAAGTGTTCTAATTACTAATCAACAAGGAACTGTTACACTCCGATACACATGCAATTTAGTCATCCTTCTACTTCTATGAAACTACTACTACTACAAAACTGGTTTTGGGAGACAGATTTGAAGCACAAACATAAAAGAAATAACAGCAGTAGATTGCATACCTCAGCATTGTTCTCCAGCTCTTCATTCGAACTACCAAGAAGAATCGTTGAAAGTGTGTTGTTTTCATATGAATGATCTACATCAAGACAGATTATTCAAATTGATGTTAAAATCTAACTTGAAAAAAGTAATGAAAATAACAATACTAAGGAAGAGACACCTTTTGAATCCACCAAAATCTTTTGTTTGAGGCATCTGATCCTATGCTTAATCAAATGGCTTGTTCCATATTTTGGGTGTCAAACCAGTAACATCTTGCAATATTTGCACCTGCCCTTTCTCTCATTGTTGATATTTATTTTTCCAAAATGAATCCACAATACTTTGTGTTTCCTATTTGAATTCATCATATCAAGTTTTTTCGCCATTATATACCTGTTGCTTGCATATATACAGATTACACCAATCATGATAAGAATATAAAACGGTCAGATAAAATTAAGAATTCTCATAAACATAACCAAACTGATAAAATCTCTTAACAGAAACTGATAGTCCCATAGGCATTCTATAATCCTTAACCGCTGCTGCTACTGATGTAGTTTTTCCCCTAAAGATTGTTTGAGCAGTTCAGCTAGGAATTACATACTTTTTCTAACAGGGGAAGAAGCAAGCCAAAAAGAAAAGATAGAAAACATATGTGCAAGGAATCGACTCGGAAGAGGTTTGATAAGGTTCAGAACATCGTGATCTAATATCAAGAGATGAATCAAATAAAAAATAAGCAATCAGTTGATTTGGACAATTCAACTTTACATGCAAACAAATACAAAAGCAACAACCAACAAACAATGCATGATTCATTACATGTGCACCAACTGTGAGATGACAGATGAGGGTTTGGTGTGATGATTGATGAGGAAGAAATGCGAAGCGGATGGCTGACTCGTTCCGAATATCACTACTTCGATTACCCTTACTTCGATTGTTTGAAACATTACCTAGCGATTAGTTGTTTGTTGGAAACTACGATCTACAATTATAATGATTGTAAAGGTAATTGGTTTTGACTCTAAATGAGAAGGATTCACCCGGGTGTAGCTCCCCCTAACTAGCTACCATGACTTGTCGGAATGAATGAAAACGTGTGGTGGAGGTGGTTGTGAATCGTAAGGGAAGTGCAGCTAGTGATGGAACATCACTCTCTTGGTCTCTAGGCCAAGGAATTCGGATTAAGCTACCAAGGTAGCTCTCTTGGCCTAATTAACTAAGGTCTGTCAAACCTTCTCTCTCGAATCGGAGTTCGGACTGCCAAAATACAACCAACCTAGGAGCTAACACTAACAAAGAGGGTTGCCCTACATTAACCTAGATAGGAGACAAGATTTGCCTAAGAACACCCAGCTTTACAAGCCTCTTTCACAAAAAAGGGGGTTTCTCTCTACCTAGGTTAGAATGGAAAAAATAGATTGATAGGCAAACACACAACACAATCTTCCTTGAAAATACCTCCAAATTCATATTAAAATACACCCACACATAAACAATCATTCCACGGAATCAATCACATGGTAGAAGTTAGGGTTCACAAACACCCAAGTGAAAAGAGACACTACTCCATGCTAGGAGAAGGGAAAGAAACCATCATGTAGATTGTAACACCTTAGGCAAATCCCACATCGATAAAGCGCGAGAGAGATCCATGGTTCATAAGTATGAAACCGACTTTAACTGACAAGACGTGTTTTGGGGTGAAATGGAGGAGTTCTTGTGAGAACTCCGAAGTTAATTGTGCTCAGTGTGGAGTACAACAAGGATGGGTGACCTTATGGGAAGTCACCTTGAATTGCACCCCAAAGCGAAAACCGTGAGGGTCGAGGCCCAAAGTGGACAATATCTTCGTCGGGAAAAGGTTCGGGATGTTACAAGTGGTATCAGAGTCTCTCTGCGTCCCTCTTGAACGATGGTGGGGCAAACCTCAACGGGGGCGTTGAGTCCCAAGGGGGAGGGTGTATGTAACACCTTAGGCAAATCCCACATCGACAAAGCACGGGAGAGATCCATGGTTCATAAGTAGGAAACCGACCTTAACTGACAAGACGCGTTTTGGGGTGAAATGGAGGAGTTCTTGTGAGAACTCCGAAGTTAAACGTGCTCAATGTGGAGTACAACAAGGATGAGTGACCTTATGGGAAGTCACCTTGAATTGCACCCCAAGTCGAAAACCGTGAGGGTCGATGCCCAAAGTGGACAATATCTTCGTCGGAAAAAGGTTTGGGATGTTACAGAGATGCTTGAGTCCTTCCTTGTATAGTAGAGATCTTCCTTTGGGGAAGAATTTCCCAAATCCTTGCCTTGGGTGAAACCCTAGCCTCTTCTTCCTTCTTGCTCGTCACTTTCTCTCTCTAGAAAGTTGAAGAAGAAGGTTTTCTCTCTCCAGATCTCCTCCCTCTTTCTTCCTTAAGCTCAAGCCTCTTTTTATACCCAGGTCGAGCTAGATTCACGGTCCCAGTTCACGGCCATGAGCATATGGTGGGGACCGTGATCTTGAACAAAAACGCACCGCATCATTTAGTCTCTTCACAGTCTCTGGCTTGGGTTCACGGTCTTACTATCGTGAACTGACTTGAGTCCAATGCGACCGAAATGGCTTTGGACGCATGGCGGTTCACGGTTGATGGCTTCAGTTCATGGTTCGTCTGACCGTGACCTATATGGTTCTGTCGTGATCTGTGGCTGCCTCCATCTTTTGGCCAATTTTGCGTCTTTTCGTCCAACTTTTGACTTCGGAGCTGGTTCCACCTGCTTGAGTCAGAAACCCACTAAAACAAGGCAAAACATAGCGTAAAACCAAACCTATCGGAGTGCAAATGCCTCGAACGCCTAAGGAAAACGGGGATAAAAAGTGTACAATTATGCCCGAATTAATGGCTGATTGGGGACATGGAGAAGATGACGTTGCGGCAAGTGAGGGTTCTGAACTTGGAGAAGGAGAACTGGATCCTTTTAAACTATGGAAATTGCTAAAGGAAGTTGGAGATCAATAAATAATTAGAAGATGAGGAGACGAACTAGGCTCGATGGATCGGGAATCGCTAAACGATGGGGAAAGGTAAGCACAACCGAAGAGGGCCATTGAATTTGGGGAGACGATATGGTAGGTAGTGCGATTGAGAATGGGAGAAATCAATTCATTGAACACGAAACATGCAAATTTAGATGGGAAAGTGGAACGCGATGGGTGGGGAAAGGGATGTGGGGTCGTAGATGCGGGGCAAGTTGGGAATGAGGCGGGTTAAGGTCGTTACCCAGGTCTGACATGACCTATAAGCGAACCGGGCCGGACCCGCTTTATTTACGGACGGGCCGGATAGAACCTGTCCCTAAACGAACTGGGTCAGGCCAAACCCGTCGGACCAGGCCAGTTTTGCCATCCCTAGCCAAAAGCTCGTCAAAATAGCCTTCTATGCCACAAGAGCCTATATAACATTAACCACTTCACTGCACGGCTGCACCCACGCTCACGCGCTGACGAAACATTGAAGTGCGGAGAGGGAAATTCTTACCCGCTAGAAGCGAAGTGAAGAACCTGTTAATATGGCGGAGCAGGTAAGCCAGTGCGATGGAGGCTCCGTTGCTTCTGATCTCATCGATTTCTTGAACGCTTCTCCCACAGCTTTTCATGCCGTTGGTAATCAAAGCTTCTTCTCTCTGGTCCCCGTTTATTATCTTGAAAAAGTCGTCCCAGAGTAGAGCACTCCGATTTCCACTCTGTTTCTGATCGGGAGTTTGTCTGTCTCTCGTCCTTCTTCTTCAGATGAGGCGAAGAGGCGATTGAGAAATGCTGGATTCGAGCAGGTATCGGAGAAGGATGATTGGAAATTGGAAGCTGGAAAGCGATACTTCTTCACTAGGAATTACTCCACCATCGTTGCCTTCGCCGTTGGGAAAAGGTACGTGCCTCTTCTTCATTCTTCTATTCCTAGCTGGAGCTCTTTGTTGCTTCATATGCTCTCAAAAGATTACAAATTTTCAATTGCTAGCATTAAGGAAGAGAATCATAGTTTTAGTCCTTGTCCTGTGATGCTAAACCTAATTCTGTTGTATGTTGGTTGGGCGATGTCGCGTAGGTATGTTGCTGGCAATGGATTCTACGTGATTGGTGCTCATACTGATAGTCCTTGTCTAAAACTGAAGCCTGTCTCCAAGGTAAGATGTCTTGTCCCCCTAGCCTGCCAGCCACTTCTGTGGAAATAATCAACAACTTTGTCTCTGGGCATATCTCGTTGAAATTTTCCTTCTGAAACTGATGGTTTTGTCCAGGTAACTAAAGCTGGTTACTTAGAAGTTGGAGTGCAGCTCTATGGAGGAGGTCTATGGCACACATGGTTCGACCGTGATTTGACAGTGGCAGGACGGGTTATAGTAAGAGAGGATAAGAATGGCACTGTTTCCTACTCACAGAAACTAGTTAGGATTGAGGAACCTATTATTCGAATCCCAACAATTGCAATTCACCTAGACAGGTTTGCTTCCTGTGCTATTGTTTCTGGAAACTGGCTAAGATTCTTGTTTTCTTGATATTCTTAGCTCTATTTCCTTGTAGAATCTGATGGTTACTATGTCATTGAGCAGGACTGTTAATAGTGATGGATTTAAAATTAACACACAGAGCCATCTGCTTCCTGTCCTGGCTACATTAGTGAAGGTAATCTTTGCTTACATGATCGTCAGTTTTACTGTTTCGTTGTCTTGTCTGTCTGCTAGTTTTGCTGGCCTCAACATACTTCTTTCAGATTTTTGGTTCTGTATGATAAAAGCATGTGACTTAACTGTGGTTGAGTAATCCAAGAAATGCCTTACATGTGTTTCCTCATTGTTAGCCCTGCAAGTTATTTTGGCTTCAAAACACATCAATAACATGTTTCACATTTTGGGTTGGTTTGAGGACCATTTGGAAACACTGTTCACGTGACCTGTGATTACTTTGTGGTTGATTTTTTATAGAAGGAAGTTTACTAGTACACTGTAGATGTAAATCAATTTATTGTCATTTATATTACCCCCTGGTGGGTGGTCAGATATGTATTCATACTTTCATCAGCGAAGTAGTTTCAGCTATTGAAATAATTTGGCTGCATAATGCCACCAGAAGTACACAAATTGTGTTCTTTGATAAAGAAGTTACCTTTAGCGATGCACTGCTTTTCCGCAGGCTGAGCTTAACAAGGTGGTAGTTGAAAGTGGTACTACAGGAGGTGGGGATAAAAATGAAGGACAATTGTCCAGCAAAGAAAGCGGGAAAGGTAACCTGAAGCATCATCTACTTCTATTACAGGTTAGTCAATCTGATTCTGGTGACCTCTCCCAGTGTATTCCAGTTTTCAGCAACCTTAAGCCTTTGTAACTTTGTCTTTAACATTTTCAACCTTTTAGAAGAAAGGCCATTGGTTGTGACTTTTGAGAGAGTGGATCTTAAGCGTGAGTTATGTTCGGGTTTTCGGGAATTTGGAATTCATCAATTCCTGTCATTTCCTGCAGATCATTGCAAGTAAGCTTGGCTGTAAACCAGATGATATATGTGATTTTGAACTGCAAGTCTGCGATACACAGCCAAGTGCAATAGGTGGTGCTTTGAAGGAGTTCATTTTCTCTGGAAGGCTTGATAATCTGTGTATGTCATTTTGTTCTCTTCAGGTATAAGATTGGTTTTAGTTTTACCTATTGCTTTCCCTATTTAACTCCATCGAATGTCCTGAATTCACCATTCTTTAGTTGCAACTCATTTTACCAAAAGATTGTGTCTAGTCTCCTCTGTAATTCTGATATGGCTCAAACTATAGAGACCTGCTCCTATGATGAATTTTGCATTTTACGTCGAGTTATAGCAAACACAGCACTCCCCCCAAATCAGTTTTGGAGTAAAAGCGTACTCGGACGTGACTTTTCCCTTTGGAGGGATGTGACGGAAGTACTGTCATTATTGAAGCTAGTGTGTTGAAGTAAAATGCACAATCTTCAGAGCTTGCCTTGTCATTCTATTTGAAAACAATGACAAATTGGAAGTCCTGTCATCTCAGACGATCTCCTATTTCATTCTCCCTTGTCTTGTTTTGTTGCGGAGGTTCAATTCTTTTTATTTTTGTACGTCATTGAGTTAGATGTAGCACTTTTAGCATGTCTGCACTTATCTCAATTACAGGCATTAATAGATGCAACTTCTTCGGAAAGTGAGCTGGAAGAGGAGAGTGGGGTTAGAGTGGTAGCATTGTTTGATCACGAGGAGGTTGGATCTGATTCAGCACAAGGAGCTGGATCTCCTGTCATGCTAGATGCTCTATCCCGAATCACAAGCTCCTTCAGCTCAAATTCCAAGGTGTTCTTCTAATTCTGAATGTTGCGACATTTTTATGGAAGTAGACATGATCTGACTTACAGTGCGCCCACTTGGTTGCATGGCAACTGCTCATACTCATTCATGCGTTTCTTTCCCTTGATCATTTCTCTCGCAGCTTCTTCATAGGGCAATCCAGAAGAGCTTCCTTGTGTCTGCTGACATGGCGCATGCCCTTCATCCTAATTATTCGGTAAGCCATCTATTCCACAAAATGATTAACAATGTTGGCTCAGATATATGTCTGATAATATAGCGGGTGCCATGTCATAGGAGAAACATGAAGAAAATCATCAGCCCAAGTTGCATGGAGGGCTAGTGATTAAACACAATGCTAATCAAAGGTATGCAACCAATGCAATCACCTCATTCATTTTCAGGGAGATAGCATCAAAGCACAGCCTTCCAGTTCAGGTGCGTTTCTCTCTGCCTTTAAATTACCTGCCACTTAGACTTAAGTCGTGTAGTATATGCGGAAAGTAACTTGTACTGCGAAAATAATTTCAGGATTTTGTGGTGCGGAATGATATGGCATGTGGCTCAACAATAGGTCCGATCCTGGCTAGTGGGGTGGGCATCCGTACGGTTGACATTGGTGCTCCTCAGTTATCCATGCATAGCATTAGAGAGATGTGTGCAGTGGATGATGTCAAATACGCGTACCAGCATTTTAAGGCATTCTTCAAGGAGGTCTGTCACCTTGATGGCAAGATTAAGATCGACATATAGAAACCTCTCTCTCTCTCACACACAATGCCTCTCGGTGGAAAGAAGAAAAAAAACTGGTTTTGAAGTTGGAACTGTTTATACTCTTTGGGTTAACCCTTTCTAGCGCACGTATTTGTCTGCCTTTGCGAATTGCTTGGTCACACACTCAAGTGCACAATTACATGTTAGAGGTCTTATGATTATATGCTTATTTAGATGAAAATGGTGTTTATTTGCTGCACTATAAGTTGAACTTTTGTGGCAAAGGCCAACATCTTAATCCATCTTTAGTGCCCCGTCATGATGCCCTCTCTTTTGTCCATTCTTTAGTTGAAAATAGACCGGCTAATACGTGGTATATGTATGGATGCCAATGGGGCGGGTTTGCCTAAACCATTTTCATCTCCATTCCCATCTTCAAATACCCAAACCCATACCCGCCCCATATCCATGCGGGTGAATGTTTTGCAAACCAATTCCCATACTCGTGCGTTTCGGGTACCAATGGGCAATACCCGTACCCGTACATCCAACATTATTATACCTAAAACTTACAAGAAAAGTTTTAATTATAACTCTAAACGAACCAATTATGTCATGAAGCGAACAAAACACAATCGTTTTCTTAAAACGGTTCAAAGAATATGATCCTAAAATATCCATTAATATATAATATTGAGTATAATATTTTTCAAATTATTATGTTATAACCGTGATAATCTACTAAGTAATAATTGACTAACATAATCTCGTTGACAATGGGGAAAGTGAAAGAGTGAAATGAGAATTGAGGGAAATGGATTAGGTTTTGATTAAGGTGGTCATTCAATTGCATTTCTACTATTTATTTTCTCAAGTTATCCTCATCATCATTGATAGATTACAATTTGATCCATATATTTTTTTATATGTGCAGAAATTCTCTTGGTGGGGCGGGTATGGGTATGGGGCGAGGGAGGCTAAACCCATACCTGGCCCATACCCATCAAATTTTTTTGCGGGTTTTACCCATACCCGGTCAAAGCGGGGATTCCCCGTGTTGACTGGGTCGGGGGCGGTCGGGTACCCGCGGCCATGGGTATGATTGTCATCCCTAGGCATATGTAGGCCTGTTAAACGGTTGCCGGTTAATCGGCTAGCTGCAAAACCGATCATTTAACAGTTGCGGTTAGCGGTGGCGGTTATGGCATTTTGGTGTTGTGACTAATCGTACGGTTGTCGCTTTATAACCAATAAACGCAGTGGTACACCGCAAAATCGCTCCCCAGCCCTTTGCCCACTAACTCTCGCTCCCAGGTCATCTCCTTCTTTTTCCAAGTGGTTGGCGGCGACGACTTTCTAGGTGGAGAGAGGAAGTGAGGATGACACCTAGCTCAGGGGACTATCGCCCTCCACATCCTCATCAATCGCCCTCGCCCGACTTCCCCATCCCTTTTCTTCCAACACTTCCTCCTTCCCTTCTGCCGATTCGCCATGCTCCTCCCATTTCGAGTTTCGATCCATTCCAGCGCAGAGACAACCGACAACCTCCAGCAAAGAACCCTAATTGACAACCCACCTCCAGCACCTAGCAAAACTCAATCGGCGGCCAATCCAATTTTTCCCCCGTCTTGTCTCATCACCCGCATCATGACCCACCGTCGTCAGCTCGTCCCCCACTCCGCCTACGCCCAGTCGACCTCTTCTTCTCGTCCAGCCGTTGCCTCGTCCTCCCACCATCGTCAACCCGTCGTCCTTGTCAGAAACAGAGATGTCATCATCCCTTAAGCTGCCACTAACGAATTTCTCCTTGAAGCTAGGTTGCTGTCGGTTATCAGCTAACCGCCTCACCAAACCGAGGCTGGCAGTTGTGGTTTTTGGCTAACCGCCAGAGCTTGCACTGGCGGTGGCGGTTGCTAGGGGTGTTCAAACGGTGTGGTTACCATGGTAACTGTTTTAACCAGTACTATTTGGATGATTTGGTTTGGTTAATTTGGATAATTGGTTTGGTTTGGTTAAATTTTTTAGCTTGTTTGGTTTAGGTGGTTTGGTTTGGTTTCAGACACTCTTAACCAGTCAATCCAAATTAACCAGATAAATAATTAGCCATATATCTATTATATACACATACTTAATACTTTGAATAATCACTCAAGAGTTAAACGTTCATCCCTTTTAGACTCATAAAATATAAAGTTTGATATTGTTCCTATAATGTATATCTGTATATGTAGAGTGTAGACCACAACATATGATCGCCTAATTTAGATAAATCTCATACATTATGTTGGATGAAAACTTGAAAACAAAGTCCTTTTATGCCAATGAAAATTGATAAAACACTAAGTCAATTCAAACAAACACAACAATTCATTAACCCATACCATTTTGATAAATGTTTGCTAGGTGAATACTTCTATACTAACCGTAGGATAATTGTCTTAGTTGCATGTATTTATGTTAAAGGTCAACTATAACCAAGTGTTGATTGTTACGTTTTATTCATTATATAAATTGTGAATTGATAAATTAACCAAAATGTTTATCACTTAATGATAATATGATTTTATATTGGTTAATCTGGTTAACCAATTAACCAAACCGATTAAACTTTAGTTTGGTTAATTTGGTTTTTGTATTAGTTTGGACGGTTTGGTTATGATATTGTATTCCATGGTTAATAAAATTTAGCCTTATTTGGTTTGGTAATAACCATGGTAACCATTTGAACACCCCTAGCGGTTGCTGATTTCTGCTCTTCGTCGGCCTCGGCTAACCGACTTTGCGGTGCGGTTAAAACCGAAATCGCACCGCTAACAGCCCTAGATATATGGTAGTGGAATGTTTACAACTATCAATCTCTAATGGGCTAGTTTGGCCATGCGATAATTTTTTGCAGTAGAAGTTTATGGCTGCAATTTTTAGAAAAGTATTTAAAAAAATAACAATTGAGTATTTAGCTGAAAAAATGTTGGAAATATTTTTTTCTGTAAGAGGTAATGTAAAATGACTAAAAACAATTTCTGATGGACCCTATGTAAAAACATATTTACTACATCAGGGCCCACCGCGTCCACGACCCTGTTCGCATTTCAATCTCTAGCCCACGACGTTCGTCATCTGCGGCGCTCACTACTCGGAGGGCTAACGGCCTTGGTCCCACTTTGTTCTCGAGCAAACGACGCTCACCACTCACATTATTTGGGCATGTTATCTTCGCTCCTACCTCCTCCCTTACGTGTCACCCTCATTGAATCGTGTCCTATGGTAAAGAAAATCGTACCGGAAGTCATACCGGACCAGTGTGTGATAGGGTATTTTGTGGTACGACCGTGGTTCAACCGTTGTGTATCGGTAAAATATCGTTTCTGTAATTAAATAATTTTTTTTGTTAAAAAACCGTACCGACAGATTCAGTGTACCGTCTCGGAATAAACCGAAATGTAAAATAGTACACTGTATATTCCACACAAATAAGGTGAATCGTTTTATGTTAATTTCACTAATAGCTGCATATTATTATTATCATGCATGTCCTATGGTTATTGCATGGGATGGATGAGTTTATGATTAATTATCATTAGGCTTATTAAGTTTGGTTCAGTATCAATATCATAGTTAGTAAAATACGATATGTGTAAGTTAAAGGAAATAGAAGTTTTAAACGCATTAAATATGTATATGTTAGGAATGGCAATGGGGCAGGTCCGGGGCGGGTTTCTTGGTACCCAGACCCGCCCCGTGGCAGGGCGGGTCCAGGGCTGGTAATTGATCACGGGTCGGGGCAGGTCGACCCAATGGGTATGCAATTTATATGAAAAATATTAGAAATATTCGTTATTTTTATTATAAGACTAAGAAAACAAACAATATTATGACAATTGTTGTTAAATTATTGGAGAAATTGAGGTTTTCACTAATTTACAACTTTATTATAGCTAAAATATGATGCAATAAAAGGAAAAATTCAAAGTAATTTGACTAAGATTACATGTAATTTAGACAAGAACGGGTTGAGAATGGGGCGGGTCAGGGCAGGTCGGGTCGATGAGACTACCCATGCCCGCCCAGCCCCGCCTACGGGGCGGGTCGGACCCGCCCCAAAACAGGTCAAACAGGTCGGGTAAAACGGGTCAGGTCGAAATTGCCATCCCTAGTATATGTCCATATATACGTGTATTAAACAACCAACTCCGACTCTATCGCATGGATCCGAACTCATGATTCTGTCATCACACACCATCACTACAAGAAAATTGGTTTCTAGTCACAGAAAAAAAAATTAAAACCTTTATTTTCTTTAATTTAAATATCTTATATTTTCTTATATACTATTAAATGTATCATTAATTTAGAACAAAATACAATACTCATACGTATTTTATATATAACTCATTGTATATGTTATAAACGCGGTGCTACGGATCGGGAAATCGCCGGAATCGATAAAGCAAGAATACCAAAGTGATAATCGAAAAACACAAACACACGATTTACGTGGTTCACTAACACAATGTGTGTTAGCCAGTCCACGGGCGAGAGAGAGTCAGTTTCACTATATCGAGGATTTTACAGATTACAGAGGAGTATGAGAAGTATTTATAGTACTTCTCCATGTGGGTCTAAACCTAATCCAATCTGCCAAAGGAAACGGTTACAGACCAAGCCCAAAACCCGAACCAAATAACATTGAACCCATACACCGCGGGCCGGGGGTGTTGCCCCCGCACCCCATCGAGGTGTTTCACCACATTTAAAACTTCTATTTCCTTTAACTTACTCATGCCGTATTTTACTAACTATGATATTGAGACTGAACCAAACTTAATAAGGCTATTGATGATTAATCATAAACTCACTCATCCCATGCAATAACCATGGGATATGCACGATAATAATAATATGCAGCAGCTACACATTTAGGCTAATTCCCCATGTAAATATATATAGTATAGACTGCTTTGCCATACTCACGCGAGTGCGAGCAAGTTCAGCGGGTCCGCTCCACTCTCAGGCGTGACCGCGTATGTTGGGCGACTAATCACAATATTTCTGTAAATATTTTTCCATTTATTATATTTATGGCAATATATATTAAAATAATAATATTTATGAAATTTGCCCCAGCAGCTACACCTTTAGGCTAATTCCCCATGTAAATATATATAGTATAGACTGCTTTGCCATTAGCTCACGCGAGTGCGAGCAAGTTCAGCGGGTCCGCTCCACTCTCAGGCGTGACCGCGTATGTTGGGCGACTAATCACAATATTTCTGTAAATATTTTTTCATTTATTATATTTATGA